ATGTTTAATCAATAAAATAGCGCACAAATGATACATTATTAATCTTTACTTACTAATATTATAAATGCGAAAGTAACTCTGTCTGTCTGTCCTTCTTTCACGCAAAAACTACTGAACCGATTTTAATGAAATTTGGTACACAGATAGCTTAGAGCCTGGGAAAAGACATAGGCTACTTTTTAACGCGAAAAACGGGTTGTAAGGGGTTGAAAAGAGGGTAAAATGTAAGGTGTATAAGAATGTTTTGAAGTTTTATATGTTTTGTTGTTATGTTTTATAAGGGTTAGTAAAATAAGTAGCCAACATAATTAAAATTCTACTTAAAGACAGTATTTCACGGGGACAAAGCCTAGGACACAGTTAGTTAAATATATATTTACTAGCTGTCTCCGGTGAATGCGTTCGCGTGGTATTACTACATGTTCTACATCTCAAGATCAATTGAGCCGTGTTACAGATACCTTCTAACAATCATCCATCCATCCAAACATTTGTTTTAATATTAGTAAGAAGTTATGGACAGTATTAATTACAATCATTTGGCGCTTTCGTTACAAAGTCAAGTGTCAGAATCATTAGTGAAGGGACATAAACGTCGACATTTTAAGTAAGGCTAGTGTTGTGCCAGTACACCGGCAGTGTCGGATTATCTTCCTAACAGAAGTAATATAAGACAAGTATTAGTGCAATGGAGTTCTGGGGCTACAAAAGCCCTGTTAAAGTTAAACAAGGTATGTCAAACTAAACAGTGATATTATTAATGTACTAAGACATCTCTAAAATGAAACAAATCGTTTCCACCACGAAATCTATGTCAAGAGCAAAATTATGAGCTTCTCAAATAGCTTCTTTTTTTATAAATGAACCTTACTGTTTTGTAACAAAGTTGAATTTACATTAAGGATCATTATTTATCTCAAATAGTTGTCGATTTTGTACGTGTTATGAATTACACCAATTTTATACCATAAACTTGTAATTTAGTGGCCAGTCCACGTAAATGGGTCAAGCATGATCTGTTATGTAAATTCTTTTTAAATTTTCATATTTTTATCTTATTAATAATATAAATGCGAATGTTTGCATGTATAGATGGATGGATGATGGTATGTTTGTTACTAGTTATGTCTAGAACGAATCAACGGATCTCAATTAAATTTGACACAGATATATAACACAGCCTCGAACAAGACGTAGGCTACTTACGACGTTTTTTATTTCCGCACGGACATAGTCGCAGGAAAAGCTAGTCGTCATAAACTTGTTACTTTAAAGAAAAAACAGTAAAAGAGCTTACATTCTACTGAGATAAAATTTTAAAATTTAAAAGGCGTTTTAAAATTAGTATTAGTAGTAATATATTAATAATATAAAATAGTGTTGTTTAGTAACTGATCGATTTTATCGATTTCAAAAAGTTAATTTAACACAAATATTAATTTCAACAGATTATTCAACTGACGAGGTACAATATGAGCTTTCAAAACTATTTAAAAGATAATTAGTTTCAAAGAGATGCAATATAAAACAATAGCTATGACCGTGCGACCATGCGGTCATCGATTGTAGACTGTGACTATTAATAGACAGGACCTGTCAACCGTAACCTTTTGTTGTTAAATAAAAAGAACAATAAGTACTCACGCAGATATTTGTGTGCGTTGTATGCTCGCTGCATTTTCGATGGTGTAAATTTGAAATCAATATGCGTTCATAAAGACGTTTCAATCTTAATTAACAATCAGTGTCAGCGAATTTGTTTGGCACATCACGACTTTGAGCTTAGTCCTTTTTTCTATAGTCAAAGTAGATTATAGATAGTGATGTCCCGATCCGAGTCGAGATGTATCGACAGATAGTGTAATGACGCGCTATTAGCGAGGTGTCGACGCGGCGTGGGAGAGAACGCGGCCTACATTCGTTAAGCCGGACAATAGGGATGTACAAACCGTCGATTATTTTTTGATATCGATAATATTTTTAAAGATATATTACACTAATTTACGCAAAACAACATTTATTATAAACTGTTTTTTTAATGCTAAAAATATTTAGTAATTTTATAAAGTAGATTCTTTTTACTGTCCAAGAAAGTTATACTATTCGATACTTGAATTGTTATTCGATTGTTTTATTAAGATAAGTAAGAAATACTACGATTTAACTGCTAAAGTTTAATAACTAAACTTTAATTAATATCGATTTTGTTAATTTATAGTCTGTATTTCCGTTTACATTCCGGACCGATATCTTACATCACTATTGTCCAATCACAAGCGCAATTACTCTAATTCAAGCGGAATTATTCTGTAACTACGTAACACTTTAATTGAATTGTGAGACGAAGCTATAACTTGTGGAGGCATGTCGTTTTAGATATACGTCTTTATATTAGAAAGGTTACATCTCTAACCTTCAAGAATATACTTTTAGACTTTATTAGTTATAATCCTTTGGCGCGAATTGCCTTTTCGTTACTAAGTCAAGTGTCAAATTTATTAGTGACGGGACATAAACGTTGACATTTTAATAAGACTAAAGTTGCGCCTACATCGATACAGTGTCAGATTTTCTTCCTAACGCTACTAATCTAACTTCTTACTAATTTTTTAAATGCGAATGTTTAGATTGATGGTTGTATGTTTGAAGGTATCTCCAGAACGACATAACGGATTATGATGAAATTTAGTACACATGTAGAACATAGTCTGGAAGGACACATAGACTACTAATTAAGTTTTTTTTTAATTCCGCTGACTTGGTGCTTTTTATAATTTTGTAATCTGACCGACAACATGACTTTGGACACGTACTCTTTTTATTTTACATGAAACTTAAAGAATAAAATTAATATAGTGTTATATTCGCATATAACAAATAACTCAGCGTAAACATTATTAAGCGTTACCTTTTTTCATCATCGGCTTGAAAAACAAGAAAAAAAATATCGAAGCGCGTGCCTCACCATTCGAGTCGGCGCGCTTTGTCGGTCGTTCCCGCCAAAAAACGTGTACACTTCAAATGCCAGACATTTCAGAAATTTCTTACGTTCCGGTTTAGTTTAATTCATTTTAATGCTTCTTAAGCTATCGTATTTAAATGATACGATATATTTTTAACAGCTATGTATTGTCCTAAAGATTATTCGTATTTGAAATTGACGTTTCGTGTAAATGGAAAATTTTAAGACAAATTTTTTAAAACTAATTAATTAAGAAATAATTGAAAGTCAATCGTCGGTTACACTTTAAAGTAATCAAAAACATTATTTAACTTGATTAATACAAATAATAAAATATATTTTATTTACCAATTAGTACACTAAATTGAGCCGGTAACATTTTTAAACGAAGCCATCTTTTACACCTGTTCAACGAGATGCAAGTCGTGACATAAAATTAATCGATTTAGTACTTCACTTGATCTCGACGACACGACGCGATGTCACGGCTTTTAGTGAAAAAAAAACAAACCATAGACGTAACAAAAAAGTATTTACTGTGTAAATTGCTAAATATTTTCGTAGCTTCACATTTTTGAATTTATTTCTGAACGTAAAGTCTTTTTTTTTGTAGATTTTCATCAAAATATGCTTCGAGTTATGTAATGGAATAATTCTAAGGCGTTGCATGTTCGTAATTTGGTTTACCTTTCACTTTTTGTCCACTCAAGTTATATTAGTAAAAATACTGCTTCTGTTTGTCTTAAACATTTTGTCACTATTCAAAGAAAAAAAAAAATGAAAGCAATTATTCAAACTAATTATTTGTATATAAATTAAATATCGATATTTTATGTGACAAAAAATCTCCTAATTAAAATTAACAAATGACATGGCCTCTTTTAACATTTCCGAGCATAGACAACTGAATGACATAAAATATTTAAAAAAAAAACCGTGCGATACCGCGAGCCGTTCTTATACCGGACAATAGAGGTCAAATTCTAGCCGGTCACCAATTTAAATCGCATTAATAGAAATTATAGCGCACTGAAGCTATCTTAAATTGTTGCATCAACACACGATCGGACAACTGTAGTCAAATTCGTTAACAACATAGTTTAAGATACAGTTATTTTATACAACTTTAAACTAAATAATAAAAAAATAAATTCTCTGAGTATGCAGAGATTTAATAAGTAAAGATATCGTTTGATAAGATGAACCTTCCGTCATATTAAATTAGCATTTTAAAGTAGAATTATTGATAAGAATGATCACTAAGCACAGTTTAAGCGGGCTAATTCGGTATACTTTTACATGAGAAGAAATTAATAATACGTTTTTTATTAAGACAAACATAATTTATAAAAGTATACGCTTTTAATTTTATTGCAAAAAAGAAAAACTAAATTTATAATAATTTATACTTAATATTCTTTTGTACATTATTTAACATAATGGAGAACGTTTATAATAATACATTTATCGAGAGCATTGACCAATCAAAATGCATTTTGTTATCAATCCTTTACTGCGTACTTTGAAACATCGACTCAACAAACAACAATAAAACTTTAGGTACCTTTTAAGTCAATAATTATAAAACGTAATCAAATATTAATTTTATTCCAAACTTGATTATTATTTGTCAGCAATGTAAATTCATTTACGAACCTCACAGGCAATCCCCTAACACATAAAATAATTACAAACACACAAAAGTGTCTGAAGACGTCACAATGGGACGCCATATTATGCCGTTTCTCGCCATTCGTCTGACAGTTGTTAGGAGGCCATAAACCGCGCCATTACGTGGCCGCCATAATGACGTACTTGCATGCTAATTGCCAACTACTGCTTCGAACACTTCGATATTGTTGGACACGTATTTTACTATTATCATTTTAGTCATTCTGTGCTATAACACATGTAAATTGTATTACTACTAAATATTAATTTAACATGTGAACTTGACCTGACATTTTTGTAAGAAACCAGATTTTAGTGTATCAGTGTGTAATAATGAATCCTAATATGTGATTTTCTATTGTTTCAGCGGTACAAAGAGGCCGAGTGCCACCGACGCAACCCGCGGGACTTGCACTGCCCGGCCAGTTTGCCCTCACGAACGGCGACCCGGCCGGAGGCCTCAACAGCCATCCCTACCTCTCCTCCTACATATCACTCTTGCTCCGAGCCGAGCCCTACCCGACCTCGCGATACGGCCAGTGCGTCCAGCCCACCAATGTCATGGGCATAGACAATATCTGCGAGCTGGCAGCGAGGTTACTCTTCTCCGCCGTCGAATGGGCGCGAAACATCCCCTTCTTCCCCGACCTCCAGGTCACCGACCAAGTCGCGTTACTACGACTCGTGTGGTCGGAGTTATTCGTCCTAAACGCATCCCAGTGTTCGATGCCTCTCCACGTGGCGCCTCTGCTCGCCGCTGCGGGCTTGCACGCCTCGCCTATGGCGGCGGACCGCGTGGTCGCCTTCATGGACCACATACGAATCTTCCAAGAACAAGTGGAGAAGCTGAAGGCGCTTCACGTGGACTCGGCGGAGTACTCCTGTCTGAAGGCGATCGTCCTCTTCACGACAGGTAAAATTTTGGACAGTCTTTTCGGGGAAGCGCGGCTGTTGCTTTACAGGGTGGCGGGCGCTGCTGGTTCTGTGACTAACTACGGTGAGCTCGTTGTGTTAGTGAGAACGCACCTCGATGCTTACGCCGAGGCCACTCGCGTTCAGCAACCGCCAGCGCCGCCGCCACCCTCGGCCGCTTCTTCGGGGTACTATTCAACGCTTGACACGTCTTTGGGCGTCAACTCTTCCCTATCTTACGGCAGCTTCCTCTCCACACCTACCCGTCTGCCGCCTAACTACACCAGTAGTCCGCGAATACCTGAGCCAAGCACATCGTTTAAGATCTGGGATGGTGGGAGCGGCAAGCCTAAGTCAGATCAGGGAGGTTGACGATACGTGTAGGGATTTTGACCATTTGGGGTGGTGGATGTTTGCGTTTGCCGTTTGGCATTACGAGTAGATCTTTTTCGGTCGTAGGGCGTTTAACAATCGAGTTTTACACGGGAATAATAACTCACGCTCCTTGGAATCCAGTTAAACTGACGTCACGGGGAGTCAGGGACTTATTGTTTTCACTACGATACGGAATAATTGTGATAGTGATATTATTTGATATTTAATTTGATAAGTGATAAATATTTAATATGTAAATATTAGTCTGCGTAAATAAGTTATATTTGTATTTAATTCGTGTATATAATTTCTTAATTTATTATTTCCTTAATATATTTCGGTAATTTATTAAAACTAACATTGTTTCATTTCTCTTTCTACTAATTCTTCCTTTTATTTATTAACTTACATAATAATTATAAATCACCCTGTATAAGAGCGTGTTACATCGTATAACTGACACGGTGATGCCTAGATTCAATAACGAGACTTGTGAAATGAGCTAATAAGTTACGTAAACATTTGATCCTAAATTACTACCGCAATTTAAATAATACTAAGTAAAATAATCGAATGAATATTTAAAACACTTCAAGAATAATATCAAAAAATCGATATTAATTGACGTAATAGTGATGATAGTATCGATTAAAGTTTATAATTGATTTGACATTTCGTTACTACAAGTTCTCGAAGTCATAAATAATGAATGTATGATAATCTAGAATACATTTAGTCGTGTGGTGTGACGGTGGAGTTGGCCGTCACCGGAGAAAGTTACTAGCGCGGATAAAACTACATTTATTGGCATTGCATATTCATGGTACCCTCGGGCGTATACCTGGCCAGCGTATCTGGATACTCGCTTTTATGTTGAAATTAACTAATACTGCGGATACTGGGGATCAAGTTAGATCGGTCGGTGTTGTAGTGAATGTATTAGTAACTCCTTTCATGAGTTGGATATCCAGTGACAGCGTACAATGCTTTGAACTACTGTACAGAGCTTTTAAATATTCTCTATTTTATGTTCATATATTCGTATTGTGTTCCAGTTTCATTATATAACGTTGTTTTAACATTATTATGAGTGAGATGTGTATTTTTATTCAGCTTTAAAAACAATTTTTTCTTGATCGAGACATTGGTTATTGTTACGTGACTTAAACAAATAATTACTTAAAAAAAAACGGTATCTTTTAAATATTTTAGCAAATATTAAATGAATATTAAAGCGACACATTTATGTAATTAGCTATCTAAATTAATCAAAAATAAAAGAAAATGCATATACATATGTCAATCCAATATTACGTCGAAAAATGTCAATAAATTCAAAGAGTCTATTGATATCCAAGTTGCATGTTGGCGAAAGTGTCGCTCGTCGGAAACATTGGCAGACGTCCTCTGTGGACAGATAATCGCAACCTGTCGAGTTTTATGTGAGAACCGATAGAAGGGGACATAGTGTTCGCAACTTTACGATGTGAGCGGTTTATCGTAGAACTTTCAATTTAATCTGGATTGTGTAACATTCAATCGTTAATTTAATTATTTTCAAATAATAAATCTTACATTTTGAGTCACTTTATTAAAAGAAAAATAAACATAGATGTAATATTATGTTATAATTAGTTTTTTTTTATAAAATATTAGTAGTTTTTTTTTGTTAATTTACTAATTTTCTTTTACCATTCCAACTAAGCTCTTGGCTTGTGCTAGGATATGGTTTACGACAATAGTCGAATGGTGGGATTCGAACCCCCAACCTTGTGATCGGAAATTCGTACCCTTAACCTATTGACGCTTATAAACTCAAATGTTATTAAATTGCAGAAGTTAATGTTTTCTACAACAATTAAACTTATTTTTAGTTATTTTTAATGTATAGGAGTAATATAATATGCATAAAACCTTTTTCATTAAAGATAAGATATTATCTATGGTCGAGTGTCAAGTAGGGCAGAGACAAATGCGCCTTCTTTCGGTCCGAGTCAGCAACAAACGAGATAATTTGTTCCATTGTGTTCCTCTCATAATATAAGCATTACTGACATCCCATAAATGAAGACATTCATCTATTTAAAACAGGTTTTATATTTTTTTAATTTCATAGTTTTTTACTTTGATAATAGATTTAAATTTTCAAGTATAAAATAAAAATAAATAAAGAAAGTTGTTTTATATTAATAGCCTAAACTTCCTCGATTTTGCTACATGAGTCAATCGGGTTTCTAGATTTTAAAATTAACTCCTATCGCCTGGGACTCCGTTCGCGTGGTATAATACGAAAACTTAATTACTAGCCTATATGTTCTTCCAAACTATGTTCTACATCTATATCAAATTTTAACGAGATCTATACAGCCGTTTTGCAGATAACTTCAAACATCCATCCAAACATTCGTATTTATATTAGTAAGAAGTAAAAATACTTGCTTTATAGTTATCTTTATAATATTTCGCCTTATCAACCGTTGTATATTAAAGAATTTTCAACATAATAATCATAGAATTATTTCTTAAGAGTGTTGCATAACAATATTGTGGGCACATCCACGTCTAGAGTTGCCAGGTCGACAAACTTAATAGCCCGACAGATCAGTCAATTTGGCAAGACATATTGATAGAAAGGCCGGACATGCGACCGACAATCGTCTCTCGTCGCCTCCACTCGAACAGTTTCGTTTGCGAAATGTAAAAAGCCGGACAACCCGGACACCTTTTATTTTAGCCGGACACGCGATTACAAAACCTACCGATGTCCGGCTTTTTCTGGCCAACATTACATCTCAAATTGAGTAGCTACTAAAAATCTAGGCACAAAATCATAATGCGTCATGAACAAAAAAGCATTAGAGATGCGGGATTATCCTTCGGGGTCTTTTAAACGGTCTTGCACACATCCGTCTCTTTCACGCTTATTAAATAGCACATGGGAGAGAGCAGGAAGTGCGGCGTGTGTTGTGCTGCTAACGGTACAGAGGTCGTGACGGTAAGACTCCGGGCGAGTCACGATTTTGAAAAAGTGTCGGACGCTCGGGACCTGGGCGCTTGCGTTCCGAGATATTGCCGCGTGGTGCAAACCATTGAATTTTATTTTAAAACTATTGAAGAACTATGCCATTTGCGCGGAATTAAAAAAATAATAAGTAACCTATGTGTTCTTGCTGACTATCTCCTATATCTTTGCCAAATTTCATCGAGATTTAATGAGCCGTTCTGGAGATCTTCTAACAAACATCCATCCATCTATACATTCGCATATATTAGGAAAGTCTGAAGACCAGGTTTTTCAATTGTTATTTTAGTCTTAGATCAATAAAAAATCAATAGATTAAAAATGCCACTGAACTCAATCGAATTATGTATCCAATCGTAATCCAACTATCGTAGTACATTTATGACAACCCTATCATTATATCTATTTATTTCAAAGACTTTAGGGATGTCAACATTATATTATAATAACATAAACTCTATATATATGCCCTTCAGTAGTACCAACATTGACGATATAATTTCGTAAGCTCCTTACAATTATTTCGTAAAGTTTAATCAGTACGGCAATAAAATCGCTGTTGCCTATAACATGAGACTTCAATGCATAATGCATCCTGTATATAACAATTTATTACATGGTGTATTTTATATAGTGTCGCCCTTCCACAGTAACAAAGATGTTAAACATTTTCTAAAGCTTATGCCCTTACCTTCTGTGTATCTACGACTATTCAAAGATGATTTAAACACCCTGTAAGCATAATATTACGTAAAGAAAGTGTAATTTGACATATTTAATGTGAAAAAGTGCACGAAGCTGATGATGGATGGATGTTAGAAAGACTCCAGAATGGCTGCGTGGATCTCGTTGTAATGTGGCATTTAGAAAAAAAAATAAAAAACCTGGAAAAACACATAGGCTACTAACTATGTCTTTTTTTATTTTACGCGGATGAAGTCACGGGTTACAGCTAGATAAACTCCGTGATTTGCTTCCCAAAGTGAGCTTAAAAGGGGATGAAAAATATAACAATATCCCCAAAAGTTGAGATTCAATTTGCTATTTGTATAAAAATGCAAATCATCGGTCCACCTTGCCGTCTTAATTTGTTACATTGTTATTTTAAAGTAAGAAATCATAGATTTCGTCTCCTACCAAAATTAACTTCCCATTGTGATACAATTACTTGCAAATTCCAAAGCAATTTGTACAATATCCATTGAAGCGTAAAAGGCGAAATACAGTGTACAACACTTAACTTAAGCATCGATGTATTGCGGCATGAAATTGCGTGGTGCGATTGACGGTCAAGATGTATGGACTTGATATGACTTTGTGTGTTTATATAAATTGAATTAAACGTCACAAACAGACGATAAGTTTATAAAAAACAAAAACCTATCACCTTAGGTTTCCACTGCTGATACACTTGGAGCAAAACATAGTGTCGTATTTCTTATTCACTTTATGAAATCTGAGATAGCTATATGTTTTCCTACCATTCTTTCGACAGTGGAAGCTCAAGGTTAGAGCGAATATCAAATCTGGATAAGCGAGAGACCACGTTCGTCGGAGCCGTACAAAAGCTCGCGTTTCTCACTTATCCAGGTTCGGCTATAAAG